ATTTTCTATTCAAAATATGTTTGAAATGCTACCAAATGTTATTCCCTGTCCTCAAGTGAGCTCAGAATAAACCTTTGATTAAGGAATATGATTTGCATTTTTTCTTCATATCATATAGAAGATAGCATTCTATGTTACGTATACAGTAGATGGAACCTATTCAGAGGGAAATTCAGCTTCTCAGAAAAATTGCCGCTTAGCAATTAATCGATCATCGATCGATAAGATGAAACAACTATTGATTAATGAATTACTCGATAATTTGCATCCCTAATATCTATACATACCCAAGAGGTTACTGGTACAGCTAGGTGCTATATGTTTTTTGTCTGCACTTTATATATCTCATTAATGTATGCACAGCAGTGTCTGAGACACGATGTGATGTCAGTGTCTCCACAAGGCCATTAGAGCAGCCTAGTTCTACCTGAAGGACTTTCACCCCCTTGCACCAGACACGGTTAACTGTCCACCAGGTGGCGTAGTGGTTCAGGCTGCAAAGTCATGTTTGAAAGCTAGGTAGTAAACCTGAAGACCCAACAGCCTATCCAGAATAAAGATGAAGGCGAGTACTGGCCATCTTAACCCTCTGGGGTCTAGGGGTAGGAAACACACTTTCACTGACTGGGGCATGATCACACATTTCTTCAAATATCATAAACTTAATTCATGGCAAATAAACAATTTCTTATATATTTGTTTTGCCATTACACTCGTCTTTATTGTAATGTATACTGAAAATGTCAGGTTTTTGTTAAGTTTGTGATTTGACATTCAAAGTATAGACATTGCAAAATGCAGTTTGGAACACTTGAAGAAACATTATAAAAGTACATAGTAAGCAATGCTGGCAGTTTGTTTTGATCCCAGATATCTGATCACCAAAGTCTTGGCTACATGAAGATGACTAAATGGTGTAGTCGCAACATTCATTTGGATAAATAAATAAGAAAAACCTAACTCATGTAACTATTTCTGGCTCCTTTCATTGAATATATAGCAACTTTCATGTGTTGTTCTTCAGATTACCATGCGAATGCGATCTGAATATGCACTAATGCGGCTATTTAGAATGTGAATAGCGATCTTCGGGTGACAGCGGTACTACACGCCCCCGATGCAGGTAAAACAAAGTAAGGTGACATGGTTTACTTTTTTGCAGATTTAGCCTAATTTTAAAAATTTTAATACTTCCGATAATAGACGTTTTGAAAAGACGACTGATTACGGATTTATACAGTGTTTTTTTCATGATTGTACATTAAGATTTCAGCGAGATATAAACTGAAATAGTACGCTGCGTCGCCGACGATGCACTCGACCCCAAAGGGTTAAAAATGCAAAAACATTGAACAATTAATGCAGAGGAATTTAAATGAGCCCTCCCTCCTGGAACAGTCTCCCTGCCATGCGTCTTCACAAAAAGCCGGCCTATCAGTGCGGGGATAGAAACTATCACAGCCTGGAGCCCGAGAGCAGGTCGGTCTCGCCCAAAAAGAAAACATGTTAAATCAAGCCAGTGATCAGGGTGAAACTATACACAGCCTGACTCATTCATTAAGAGCCATCACCGTGGCATGTACAGGTACAGTACCCTAACCTGATGAGCCACATACTTCTGCCCATTCTGAGGACAGCAGGAGGGAGGAGATGTAGGCCCACTAATGTACCTGGCTGTATTTGATGACAGAGCGTTAATGACCAGAGACACCATAAACCTCCCAGGAGACCATTAAAACAAACATCAGCAGATGTAATTAAGGAATCGGTCACAGTGCCCTCAGGAGATCAAGCTGCCTTGCTGAGACAGACCTTTACAAAAGGTATATTTATTGTTATACAATTAGCAATTCTCAGATAAACGTAACTTGTGCCAGTGCCCCACACCTTCTTGGGAAAGCTGCCTACACCCCACCCCACCCCACCCCAGACCGGGCCTCCGTTGGATCTCATCTGTCAGCTGGGCCCACTCCTGAAATCCTTAGGGACTGTTAATAAGAGAACACGCGAATGAGGAATTAATTCATAATTTAACACAACTGCGGTCCCCACTGCCCTCATTAAAAGTGTTTAATTTATTTATTTTCTAATTTTTTGTGGGGGTGGGGGGTGACTCAGCTTCAGGTCATTTCCTGAGGCTAAGAACACCTGTTTAATCATTAATTATGGTTGTCTTTCTCGCAGCCTAACCCCAACCTCAGACCACACACACATAATTCTTTTATGACTTACAATTCACTTAGGTTTAGTTAGTAGCACTGCAAACTAAGTACATTAAAGAAAGCAGACAGTCAGACAGTCCCTGGAGGTTAAGGGCTTCAGTTAAAGGGCCCAATAGTGAAATCACTCTGCTGACACTGGGATCTAAACTAATAACATCACAGGCACAGCTTTCTAACCCTCTGAGCTACACACAGTCTGTAGGGATACTGTAGCATGAGGGACCTTTAACCCATGCTTAGGTTCGGGCCAGAGTGTAGCTCCTATACATCACCATGGCAACAGGAACCATGTGACCTCTCAGACAGCGCAGCAGCTCATTGCCTGGGAAACGTCGCCTCAAAGGCTGTGCCGGTGCACATCGAGCTAATCAAAAGGGGCGATCTAACGTGCAAGTGATCCTCAAATGAGTGATTTCAGATCCTCCAGTGAGGCCAAACCGAGCAAATGAACCAAAGACATCACACCCTACTGCCCTAACACAAGTGGCACCTCCAACTGATTGGACAGAGAGAGACACACGCTGTGCACTGCAACCTGGAATGGGACATCGCGAGAGTGGTTTCCCAGAATCCTCTCTGGGAACATCAGTGCATTTCATCATGACAAGTCTGTCACGTGAGCGATATCATTAAGCAGTGGCTTCCTCCTTTGTCGCCACGGTTGCCAGGGAAACCTCTCCTCCCCCCACCAGAGCCATTATTCTCACACCACCAGCTCAAGCTAATCCCCCCGGTATTCATGCATCTATGACACTAGGGAATTGAATCAATCATGCTGATCACCAGCGCTGCTCAGATTGGCCTGTAGGTGTCACTCCTGCTTGTCAGGTGAGCAGATCTCCACTGGATCCTGACAATGGCGTTTGTTTGGTATGCTGCGTCAGACAAACCGCAGTAGTGTTCCTCAGGAAAAGCTTCACGGGTCAACTGGCATCGTTGCAGCCCGGCTTCTGGAACATTCATTCTCTTTTGGCTGGAATTGAAATTTCACATCTCCCAGTTCAGCACTTAGGGATGCGCGTGAAAAGTGATTCACAGAAAGACACACGTACGCATGCACACACGCACACAAACACAGATGGCCACACACACGCACACAGAGGAGGTGTCCCTTCTGTTAAACGCGGTCCACAGAGACACCCCAAAGCATTAATAGCAAGAACACACACCAACGTGACAGGTTCCTGAGGAGGCGGTGCTGGAGCAGGGGCAAGTATCACAATCATCCGACAGACTAGCATCAGGCAGCCTGTAGAAACCCGGCCTGCATTCCTCACAGCTGGGTCCTTGCGTGTTGCCTTGGCAGTCCAAGCAGATGCCTGACAGAAAAAAAGACAACCTGTCAAAGGTGGGCTTTCACTAAACTATTTCACAGTACATGCAGGGGCAGGTTTATATATAGCTGGAGGAAATCTGAGCACCCTGTGCCGTCCTCCTCTGTGGCCTGCAAAGAGGCGTTTAGGCTGAATGCGGAGTCAGCAGCGGCTCTGACGTGAGCCGCACTACTCATAATGACCCTCAGGCACACAGGACTTTCCGTTCAGCGCGAACAGAAATGAACAGTCATGCTCCAGCAAGCTGGGGGGGCAACATGTTTGTCAAGAGGATAAACTCACACATGGATGACAATCATTGATTATGAGTTGGTGTGTTTATGCCTCAAGGGAACAGGAGAGGCATCCGCACCGAGTAGTACTAGATTGGAGAAGGATCAGTGAGGCAGCCTTAACATGGCACAGGGACAAAGGGAACCTACTCCATCACGTCTGGGCATGGGCTCCAAGAACAACCGCACTCGATGGAGAGGGCTTGGGTGGGTGGGGGGGGGGTGTAAATCTTCTCCATGTTTGTGCAAGAATCTCCTGGGAATCCTGGTTTCCTTACACATACAAACATGGCCCTGTGGTGTGTGTCTGTTTGTGGAGGTCATAGGTGCAGTTCACTCACCAGACTGTGGGTGGCAGTAGCTGGAGTGGTTGTGGCACTGGCAGGGCTGGCAGCCGGTGTTGCTGAAGTGGTAGAAGCCCGGGTGGCACTCGTCGCACTGTGGCCCGTACACCCCCACCTTACATGTGCAGGCCCCAGAGCTGGGGGGGTAAAAACAGAGCCATAAGACGGGGTGGGGGGGGGGGGGGGGCACTGTCACACAGCATGATGGGAGAAACATCTACCTAACGAGGCTTCCTGCACATCAAGAGCTGCACCAGTGGAAATATCTCTCAGTCATTAATACCTGGCATAACAAAAGGTACAACAGTATAACAAGCCAAACAGCTCATAGAGATCAACAATGGGCAGGATTTGCTCTGCACTGCCCAATAAACAGCCAGGTTTACTTGTAAAGACACAGGGCTAGGCCACACCCACCCTAAGGCAAATGGCTATGGGTGGAGAGATTTGGAAGGGCAGACGAGAACAATAACAAATGAGTACTATGTGGTAAGGATTTAATGAATGATAACAATGAGCAAATGAATAAGTGAAGGGCGTTTAAGCGGAGAGCTGCCATTTGGCGTCTCTGGGGAGCACCTGAGTGTCTGTCACTTATGGTGTGTGTCAGATTTACACACGACACACAAACACACTGCATATAACATTTTAAATTTGCAAAGGGTGGATCTTTCTCTCACGTCTACATATTTTGCACAACAGCTGGAAGACTAACAACAGTGCTAACAGTAGTATTAATGGCCAGTATGATCAGCGGGGGTGGGGGACAGAGAGCAGACCCCCGTAGTGTCCGTGGTGAGAGTGGTCAGGGTCCAGCAGATGGCAGGGTGCAGGTGACCGCAGTGTGGTCTGCTGTAGGATCACACATGCACATATCACAGGGCCTAAATTCCA